CCGACTAAGACAGATGTACTCAAAAAAAGGTACCCGAAGGTACAAGATAGGGAAGTAATTCTCTGTGGGTACACGCGGGTATATTGCGGCATATGCGGTGGGTATATTACGGCAGCTACTATATAAATCTTTCTAACTCATCTTGTCCAGGAGTGTACATCCTTTTCTACACTGACTACAGAAGCAGAGGTCCGTGTTTAAATCCCTGTCGACGACTAACAAATATGCCGGGAAAAATTTTTTTGTTGCTGAAATTTTTGAATAAATCTAGGATATTTTCGCGTTACTGATCAAAACTGCAATTAGTTTCTATCCTCAAACTACCGTTTTTATTCAATTCAATGGTTGGTTGGTGTCGTATCCATTCAATTCAATAATATATTTATAAGCAGGATTTTTTATAATTCACTGGAGTTAATACTAAGATTCTCTGTTACTAAAGCATGGTAAGAAGAAGGCGATAACACATTTTAGTTTATGATGCGATATGTTTAGTTTATATGTTTTTCGTCTTAAGTCTATTTTCAAAGGAGCAGACAAGTGTATATTATATAAATATAAATAAGTTTAAAAAGTAATAAGTTAGGGAAAGAAAAAAATTAAGTTTTGTTTTTAACTCATTTTTTCCCATTCTATCAAACATATTAAGTCCAAAAATAAATTTTAAATATTTATGCAAATATGTTATTTGTTATATAATAATGCATTATGATTGTAAAGTTTAGCAAACAAATAAATAAGAATTAATGTGCTATGTACCTCCACGTGGTGTAATCTAATAACTCCTAACAAATAATTCCCACCTTGAAAAAAAAGAAAATTTATGAATACAGGCTAAATGTCATCACCCAAAAATTAATAAAATCGAAATTAGACATTGCAACTTACATTGGAAAGCATTTTCATATTTGGGAGGGATTTTTTTTTCTTTAATTTTAATTTCTAAAAGAAAAAAATCGCGAGTTGAGTGGAAAAGAACGTTAACGGTTCCGAAACGGCAACGGAATGACGAATGTCGGAACCGTAACGGAAATGCCAGAACCGAAACGGCGGGACAGTTTCCTACAAAAAACGCAAACTTTTTTATTATTATTATTAAATAGCAAGAGTTTAATCTCTGTGCTTAGAAAAGCGAAGAATAAATAATAGTAATTCACCCATTACTATTTTCTAAAAATATATGCCGAAATCATTTTTAAACGGCTTATAAAGTATTGGAATATAGTATTTTGGTAAGGTAGGAATAAACTTTAGCAAATATGGGACTTTATTTTTCATAATGTGACATTTAAAGTATTTTTTTTTTCGGCCATAAATTATTTTTTTAACTATAGATTAGAAAAAAATGTAACAGCACCACATTCAAGCGAACCATCTTTGTTATTCAATGTAACGTTTTTATTTGTTTATTTATTTATTTTCTTGAATCACAAGCGCTGCATGATTTCTGTGTATGATCTCAATTCTGAGCACAGATTACGTTAAAAAAAATATCGAGCGGACATTATTTTTATTTATTTATTTATTTTTTAAATGAAATAAATAAATTTCCGCCACTTGAGCATAATAATAATCGTCTATAATTGAGTCCAAGATAATGCGATTTTATAATAATGTAGTGAATTGAAAGATGTAGGTTTACATTTTTGAATATGTAATTCAAAAATCAAAAAATAATTTAGAAATGTTATTTATTAAATAATAATAATAACAACATATGGTTTAGTAATTGAGGGGGGGGGAAATTGAATATCTGTTCCAGAGAAATATTTGCATTTTGTTTTGGTGCTGCCCTCTTTTTTTCTTAGATTTAACTAAACATGTTTTCTGGAAATAACAGAATGTCTACGTTACCAACTTATTTCCGTGTCATTATTTCATAAACAAAAATTGAGTTTTACCTCTTATTTCTTACTCGTACTTATCGATATTGTTTTACAAATGCTGTAAAAGCCCACTTTTCAGTATTTGACATAGTTATTAATATAACTATTAGTTATCAATATAATTAATCTAACTTTTTTCTTACACCACTTATAATTCTAAATCACTTCGTTGAAATAATTTTTTTATTACCTTACATTGATCTTTCTAATTAACAATATTTGATGGAAAGACAATTTAGCAATTTTCAATCCATCATTATATTACTTCTTCTTTTAAACCAAGCTTCACGATTGAGTATAGTGCTGCCATCTTCTGTTATAAATAGAATTAAAAGTTTAAAAACTGTTGAAAGCCGGTCACTGCTTTTGAAATATTTCCACAAAATAAATTGACAATTTTTTTTCCTTCTTTTTTTAAAAAACTTAGAATTCATCTAAATCGAATTGAGTTGATTAAATTAAAGTGCATAGAGAATTGTGACCTAAAATTATTAAAATATTTAATAAATTTTGTCGTTTTACAAATGCTTTAAACATTTTAACAGTTTTGGTTATTTAAAAACATTTTATTGCCACTTTAAATTGCTCCGAAAATTACTTCCTTAAAATTACACAAATATGACGAATATGAGAAAACAAGGGAGAAGTTATTTAAGAACTCATTTGTTTACATGCTGCTCCAAATTTTAGATTGAAACCTACGCTATGCATGCTTGTGTTAAGATTGAATTTCGAAATGTCAGAAACTTAAATTCGATTTCTCAGTAACTATTCGACCGATTTGGCTCAAATTTCATATTTTGCCATTAAAAAATTGCATTCTTTAAAATGAATCAAAAAATTATATACCTAAATCATTTTTTTTTACTATTATTAAATAAAGTAATAAAAAATAATAAAATTTTACTAAAAGTTATTTTTTGCATGGAATTATCTTTGGATAAACGAATTTTATAATTGGGTGCAAAAAAAATTTTTAATTCGTTTAAAAAATTTTCGAGATATAGCGAAATACCCCTTATATTTTGGGGGTCAGAAATCCAAATCCATTGGGGGAAAAAGCATGTTTATTCAGAGAAAGTCTGTTTCGTAACTTAAAATATCGTCTGCACTAATTAATTAGCACATTTGAAATCACCCATTTGAGCAATTAAGATCGAGTCCTAGAACGTGAAACCCCGATCAAAAGTTATACAGGGTATACCGTTTTTTCTTTTTTTATTTATTTATTTATTCATTTACTTATTTATTTTTTTTACGCACTGTACATTTTTAAATAATACATTTCTTACATCTTGCGTAGTACATCTATGAAGTTAATGCAGTACTTACCCTATATTATATTTACATTTTTGCCTTAAGGATACTAAAAAGGATACCAAAAATACATATGAAAGGGTTTATAAGGGAAAAACAAGGATTTAGAAAGTTCATTAGAGAAAAACTGTTAAGATACGGAGGAAAAAAAGAAAAAAAAAGAAAAAAAAAACACACCTACCACGTAACCGAAGTTATTTCGTAGAGCAAAAATGTATGTTTCTGGAGTTGTTGGATGATTTTGTGTACAAAAATTTTTTAAAAAGACTGTTTGAAGATAAGAATTCCTAGGAATTCTTTTGTACGGAAAAAAAGTGCTGTACGACGAACAAAATAAAAGACCACCCTAAATAACTTTCGATCTAAGGATCGGATCTACTCGTTCTACAACTCCATCTTAATGGTTCGAAAAGGTAACCTCAAATATGCGAATTAATTAGTACAGACGATATTTAAAGTTACGAAATCAGACACAAAAACGTATTTTCTCTGAATAACCACACCTTTTCTTTGACGGATTCGGATTTCTGATCCCCAAAATATAGGGGATAGCCACAATCTGGGAAATGTGGTCCCTATATTTTGGTCAGGAGCGCTATCCAAGGTTCGGACACCTGATGTTAATTTTACCTTTTGCGTATTTCGCTATATCACGAGAACTTTTCAAGCAACATGAAAAATTTTGCACACATTTATAAAATCCGCTTATCCAAAGATAATTTAATGAAAAATTTAACTTTTAGTAAATATTTATTATTATTTTATGTAATAATAGTCGAAAAAATTTTGAAGTGCAATGTATACAATTTTTAAATTAGTTTAAAGAATGTAATTTTATATAGCAATTTAGAAAATTTGATCGAAATCGGTCAAATAGCTTTTGAGAAATCAAATTTGGAAAAAGTCATTTTAAAAAAGAAAAAAAAAAATCGATTTTTCGGAAACTATTCGACCGATTTTGCTCAAAATTTCCATTTTGCTATGCAAAATAACATTCTTTAAAATGATACAAAAATTTTAAACCTTGCACTTCAAATTTGATCGAATGCACTGCAAATATTTGGAAAAAGTCATTTTAAAAAAGAAAAAAAAAATCGATTTTTCGGAAACTATTCGACCGATTTTGCACAAAATTTTCCATTTTGCTATGCAAAATAACATTCCTTAAAATGATACAAAAATTTTAAACCTTGCACTTCAAAATGTTTTGATTATTATTAAATAAAATTATAAAAATGTACTAAAAGCTATAATTTTCCTAAAAATTTCTTTGGATAAACGAGTTTTATAATTGTGTCCAAAAACTTTTTAATTCGTTAAAAAATGTATCGAGATATGGTGAAATAAGCAAGAAGTAAAATTAACATTAAGGGTTTCAAACTTTGAACTACTTGCATGACCTAACTATTGAGACCATATTTCCCACATTGCGGTTACCCCCTATATTTTGGGGGGTCAGAAATTCGCAGCCGTCGAGAAAAAGGTTTTATTAGTGAAGTTGTTTATTTAGATAAGGTTATTTATTAGTTAAGTTATTTATTTAAATAACTTAAAATAACTTAACAGTTTACTTGGAATACTAAGTAAACATAAATATCGTCTCCACTTATTAATTATATTAGAGGTCACCCTCTCGAACCATTAAAATGAAGGCCTAGAACGTGAAGATCCGATCATTAGATCAAAAGTTATTTAGGAATAACATGCATTCAACTCCACCTCTTTTTTTTTGTATGACTTGGTTTCAAACTTTCTCAAACTATTGTATGTTAGATAATATAAAAAGTTAACAACAAGTTTGTATCATGTAAAGACATTTATTAATCACTCATCACTTCGAACAAACGATGCATTGTACAGCGGCTTTGCCCCTGTAAGGAGGTTTAGGAAGTCCACCCTCTATTTCAGATACATGGACGATGGACAAAGTATGCGATTGTTGTTCTTCTGTATTCTGTTCATAGGACTCAGGTTTTTCATCCATACAAATATGCGTTCCTGGCAAGTTTGATCCGGACATTAGGTATCCAGAATATTCGGTTATCCAATCTTCCGGACATTCATCAGCTGCTGGAAATACGTGTATCAGGGTCCTAAAGTAAAGTTTTTAAAAAATTGATTATTATGCATTTAATAAGATTAAAAATCAATTCATTAGTAGCAAACAAGTTAAAACCATTATATTTACGATGCCTCAAAAGAACAAAAATATGTTATGACATAAAACTTTGTTTCGATTATTGTTAACACATTGGTATAGAGTAGAAAATCACGTAGAATCAGAGTAGAGAATTTTCGTTTGTTGCAAGATATTTCGCATAAGAACGCGTACCCCACTAATCTGTTCCCGTATCCCTGAGGGTACGCGCACCACGCTTTGGGAAATACTGCCCTAGAGGTATTGATTTGTTATGGGAACATTGAGGACATTGTGACCGGACAGATTTAACGTGCACCAGTCACCAAAAGATGTCTTCTAATTTTGCGTTACCCTTCGTAATGTTTGATTTTCTTTCACACAAATACCAGCAGAGTAGCCTTATTCTTTAACAGTTTTATTTTTCATGAGACAATGAATGCTTTTCAAATTATTCAAGCCTAAAATTTAAGATATAGTTTGCAAATATATAGTTTACCTGTTTGTCAGGTGACAAGTGGAGCAAGGAACACCCCTTCCAAAGTAGGACCTAACATCATGTTCCTCAAATGGATGCTCGTCCATCAGTCCGTACTTGGTACCAGCGACATGAGTAGATGAATCACTTCCAAAAGATGGATCTTGGTCTTTGAATTCTGGTTCGTCGGGCAAGCATAGGTAGTCAGACCCTCCTCCAGTACCTCGGTTAGTGGTAGCAGACATGAAACCCGTGCTCAGTTGATAGATCATTGGAGTTTCTGGACAAGACTTGGTTCCCCATCGAATGTATGTACCGGTACCAGTTCCGTACATTTTCTTTTCTGGGACAAAAATTATTTCAATTATTCGGTTGTCAAAAATTTGGTAGTACTATAATATGAAACTTAAGCAATAAACAATCGAAGGATTTAACCGGGGGGAAAATTAAACTTAAAAAATTCACATTTAATTGAATAAAAGAGAGTTGGCTATGGTATTTTTACTCTTTGCCTAATACATTATTTGGACCAGTTGTAGTTGTAACTCATTTACGTCGCGCTAGAGCTGTGCAATGGGCTATTGGCGATGGTCAGGGAAGCATCCCTGAGGATGATCCGAAGACATGCCATCACAATTTTGATCCTCTGCAGAGGGGATGGCACCCCCACTTCGGTAGCCCCACGACCTGAACGGGAAGTCGAGCACTTTACAGTAGAAAAGTTTAACGAGAATCAATGCCGCACACCCTCGTTCCCTACGCAGACTGATCCAAGTGGTAATCCATCCGCACACCACTGATAGCAGCCCGTGATGCTTAATTTCTGTGATCTGCTGGGAGCCGTGTCTTAACGATCAGTCCACTGCGGGACACATTATTTGACCAAAAGTATTGTTCGTTCACCAGGAGTTGGTACTTGGCTCCGCCTTCATTACGTGGCATCCGACTATACTATTTCGCTTTTTTTGGGAAAAGGATGTGAACAATCCTGAACAAGGTTGCTATTTGGCGATCGTAAGACTGAAATATTTATTTCGCGATATTTATTTGCATTTCTTAACATTAAATATTTCATAAATTTGAAGATATTTGTCTTTTTTGAGTGAATACTTTGCTCTTTTTGAGACATTTTGCTGCAATATATTTAATTAGCTAGAGTAATGAAGAGTATAATAGAAGATGATAAAGCGAAGTAAGTGAGTGAAAAAGAATTAACTGTTTGCGTTTGGCGTGCATTAAGGGTTGTCTTCATTTCAGGCGCTGAGATGTTTTTACTCTTACTCCCGTGCGGAAATGTCGTCCGATTAGGTGGAGGCAAGTGCCAACTCTTGGTGAAAGAACCATATCCGGTCACCCACTTTAACCATCATGGTGTGGGAGTAACTTTCGTTGTTTGGCCTGGGTCCCTTAGTTCCTGTGGCTGGGATCATAAACTCGGAGAAGTATGTAAATATTCAGGACAATGTTGCTCTTTCAAATGTAAGGCAACATTTCGCATAGGGCCCACATCTCTTCCAGATAGAGACTTGCGTAGCCAATGGTTTTATGAAATGGTTGTTCAAAAACTGGACAGACTTTCTCAGAGATGCAACTAAATTTCATATGAACACCTTTGGGATGCCAACACTTACTTCAGCTGGACGTCTCGAAGTCAATTCATATAGCCATCCATCAAGTCTCCCCAAACATGTCTCCTCAAACATGTCTCCTCAAACATGTTTCCCCAAACATGAAAGTCTCATCCATACAAAAAACAGGCCAGCATCATTGATCTATAGATGGTTGTATTTGGGGAGACGTTATAACGTCTCCCTAAATACGGACCACTGGTTGTTCGGGTTCTTGGGTACTTTTGCCAAGTAGTGTATGGTAGACATTTTATAACCGTCGTTGAAGTGCCGACCCCATTGTGGTATTACGGCTACTAATGTTCAAGTCCATGGCCTTGTAATTTAAAACCTAATCCCGAAGACAAGGGAAATTTTGGATTAGGTATTTTGGAGAAATTTACCTTCGTGGAGGACTTTTTGATGGGACTAATCCGCATTTGCGTTACGTGAGGAGGAAAATCACTAATCCCTCCTCGTTTATCCTGATGGTAAGAGGACTTTAACCCATGATCCGTCTACCACTGAGGATATTTTACGTCAGCACTGTGTTCGGTACGAGCCGGGTGGGAAATTCGTATCTACCAGTCATCGCTGGAATTCGAACTCACTTCATCTCATTGGAAGGCGAACGCTCTATCCCCTGAACCTCTAAGACTCTATAGGGTAGACATTGAGAGAGCTTTAAAAACCTAACTTTTGTAGCCTCTTGCAACTATAACTCAAATAAATATTTGTTTTTACCTAATAACATATATTGGGCTTGGAAAATCTCACAAGTAGTCGGAGGGACAACTATAGCAGACATCTTTTTCAAATAAAATACATGAAGGTGAATCTAATCCGCTGTTAGCATTAAGGGGACGACTTATTATTTGGAGGTGGATTTTTGAATTGCAAGAACAGACTCCTTCCTGATATTGCTACAATTTCAAACTTTTTAATAAATCTGAAATGGTGTTCTTCCTTCTTGTAAAGTGTTTTGAAATATTGTAATGCTGTGGTTAAGTTTCGTATTTCATTATGAAAATATTTCGTTGCCTACTTCAGACATAAAAAAAAGCTGGATAAAATCTGGATAAGTCTTTTTTTCGTATATTTTTATCGAAATAACATGTTGAAAAAATATAAAACTTAGTAACCAAAGCTAAAATTAACTGTTATCTCCATCCTGGTATTGAATTTCTTTGATTATTTTGGAATGTCTATCACATGGCGTACTACTATTTAAGTACTACTATATATATCAATCGTGCAACTATTTCTCAAATAGTAGTACGTCATTGTCTTGCAGATGGAAGACCAATGGTATTTTTCGCAATTGATCACGCAGAAAATTGTGGAGGTTCATAACAAGAATCACATGAAAAAATGATTTTTAGAGCTTTAACACATTGTAAGTATTTCGTGGGTTTGATTGTTCTGATTTGAAAATTACTTGTTTTTCTGTTAATTAACGATTCTGATTAATCATTTCCTAGTTGTTTATCTTTTTGCTTAATGTAATTTTACCTTATTCCTTTTTACTTATTTTTTTTATTTTATCTTGTAAACCTCAACTTTCATTGTCTTGAAAGGGCAGTCAAATTCTCTTTTTTTTCACTCACCATGGACTATCTGAAAATAAAATAAAATAAATAAATATAAATAAAAATAAAATCAAAACATAAAGCTAAAAAAAAATATTTTTTTTAAGAAACAATATTTATTTTATACACATTAAATTAAGCACAATGTATTTTAAAGTAAACAATGAATTTTTTTCAATATTTATTTTAGAAAGAAGAATTTAAAATAAACAGATAAAATAGAAAAAGTTATTTTTTGCGTGGTGCACTTGAGTTAATTTAAAATACTCTTTTTGATTGAACTGATTGGCGATGTTCTTAAGAGGTATTTTAATAGAGCCTAATGTTGGAAAGTCGCACCAAACTCTGCAACGATGAAAAAAGTACCACTTATAAAAAAGTGGCCGGGATTAGCGATAAAGCTATGATGTCTAATGTGATTGTGATGTTGCTAAAAAAATTATTCAAATGCATAATTTCAGATTAAAATTTAACTATATGTATTATTTATGCATTTTGGCCCACACACTGGTTTTCTTTCTCAGAAAATTTTTTTTTTTTTAAATGAAGGAATGTGTTATCAGTTTCTGTTTTCTTAAAAAAAATGTACACGAGAGAGCAAGCAACAATTTTGGCGTTAATGTCTTAATATTAACCACATAACCGGTCATTTTTTTTCCAAAAATGTAGACAAAAGAAAAAGATTTTTTTTTGACACTCAACTAATGGTATCCGTTCATCGAATTCTATCTCAGATATAATTATGCTGGGGGAGTACTGTACTGTGTCTACCACAACAAAAATACAATTTCAATTCACTAGTATATAAGGCATGTTAACTCGATTCTATGATGCCTCATACCTCTTCATAGATGAAGGTTGACATTGTCGATAACTACTATCCCCATATTGGTGACCCGGACGTGATACTGCTAATGGCAATACAGGCTTTGCTTTACGTCTGTTCCTTTGTTCTACGAGTTTGATTATAATCTTGGATGTTTTTAATTTAGTTGCTAAAATGTTATTAAAGTTATGTTTAAATTTCGCATTTCTTCTTTTTATTCATCTTTGACGATTGACTTATCAGAATTCAATACGGATGAAAAGCATCCCGGATGAAAAGCATATCAGTTACAAGCTACACCATCTATTGAAACATATTAATACTACATAATTTCCTACGAATTAAAAATACAGAAAAACCAGAAAAGAAGAGTAAAGCATATGGATGTCGGTACAGCGTACCAGTAAGCTGGGCGAGGCAAACTTAGAATAGCACGTTCGGTATGCGGACAAATCAATTAAGGAGTTAAATTATCTTTTGACAAAAAAAATTTGAAAAATTAATTTGAATCAATGTTTAATGATTTGCTTACAATTTTCTTTTTCAGTCTTCTGAACTCTTTTGAAAATTTTCCTGGCAGAACAGAAAATTTTCCTTCTTTGTAAGCTTCCTGTGCTGGTCCTATTTGAGAATCTGGTCCTTCTTCAATGTTCAACTTCCCAATGCTGTCGTAATAAAGTCTCAGAACTTTCAATACTCTATTGTACAAACTGTTGATCTAAAAAAAAAGAATTGATAAACAAGTTTAAAAAATATCCCCTTAGTTAAGTTTATTCGAACGTTGTTGAATCTTTGCTAATTTGAACTTAATTGACTTGATGAAAGCTTGCTTGGCCAGTGATAATGATGAAGTTACATCTATTAACAAAGCAACTTTTTTTGTACATTGTCTAATAAATTATATTATAGATGCAAATGTCTAGTACAAAGAGTGTTTTGCCAACTTATAATATCAAAAGAAAACGTTCTAATTTTGTCTAATGTTCGCTAATATAAATATTTAAGTCTAATGAAAAGAGTGTTTATCATAATCTTTCAAAAATTGATATTCGTATAACATCCATGATTGTTAAATACAAGTAAGTTATTTAAACATTGTCTATCGTCTTCTAAAGCAAATCCACACTCCTGTGCATGAATTAAGGACAGTTCAAAATCACCGGAAATGGAACTTAGGAGTAAAAATTCCACCAGTAGAATTCCTGCAGTTTTTCGCCTGTTGTACAAGTGTTTTACCAATTTGTCAATGATTGATAATGGTATAGATATCACACTCATAATATCAAAATAAAACGTTTGAATTTTTTCCATAGTCAGTTAAAATAAATATTTAAATCTATTGAAAAAGTGTTCAACACAATCATTCAATTTTTTAGAAATTATATCTATATGATAAGCATCTATGATAATCATCTATGATTAAGTCAAAGTAAGCTGTTTAAACTTTGACTTTCGGTCTCTAATATAAACATAAACTACTATTGAAAAAGTTTTTCTAACATATTCTATCAATATTTAATATTTGCATAGAAAAAAAATCACTTGATATCAAAAATTGAAAGTTTTATGTTCGAACATTTTCTAACGAGTACTTAGGTAAAACCATATGCGTATTCTTTACAATCTGTAAAACTATCAACCAATAATTTGAAAAGATCATAGAAATTAAAGGTATGATAGAATCTTAAGATGCTCAAACCTCGTCTAATGATGGCAAATATAAACCCACTTACCTCGCCTTCTTGTTGAGGATTGATAGATGTAGGAAGAGATCTATACCAATCGGTCATCATAGAATAGGCTTCTCTTAAATCGTCAAATTCATATTCTAACTCCCTTAGCTTGGCCTCCAATGCTCTGAAAATCAAAACTTGTATTTTATAACCATCGTCGAACAGCAGGCACTATTTTTAGTTTATGAATACAAATATTCAACTCCGTTGACTTGTAATTTTGTACCCGATTCAAAAGACAAGGGAGCTCTTGGATCAAGTATGGGAAGAAATTTGCCTTCTTGAAGAACTTTTTGATGGAACCAATTCACATTTGGAGAGGAAAACCACGAAAACCTCCCTCGTCTAATCTGACGGTGATGGGACTCCAAACCCTGATCCGTCTGTCCCTGAGGATATTTTACGTCAGCAATGTGGTCGGTGCTCGCCGGGTTCGAAATTCGTAACCTCATTGGGAAGCAAGCGATTTATCTCCTTAGCCACCAAAAATGCCACCAATATCTGAATTCTTAACATAACATTCATTTATGATAATGGTATAACAATGGATTAAGGTTTCATTTATTAATTAGTGCGCTCTAAGTAGGCCAAAGAAAAATTATTAAGAATACTACTAAGTTGTGCCAATCTTTATGGCCGAGAGGAGTATGACTTCAAATATGTTAATTTATTAATTATAATTATAAATAATATTACTAAATCATGCACTAAAACGTACTTTCTCTGAATAAAAATGCCTTTTTTTCTACATATTTAGATTCTACAAAATTTTTTAACCTGTATTGCCATCTAACAGTGAACAATTTTATTTTATATTTTGTAATCGTCTTTAAACAGCCGATCCGAGTTTTGAGTTTACGACTTCTAATGTTCGACTCCGTAGCCTTGTGGTTTCGAACCCAATACAGAAGATAAGGGAACTCCTGGATCGAGTATTGGGAGAAATTTCGCCTTCGTGGAGGACTTTTTGTTGGAACTAACCCGCATTTACGTTACATGGAGATTAAGACCACTAGAACCTCTAACGGTTAGCCTGACGGCAAAAAGACTCTAACCCATGATCAGTCTACCACTGAGAATATTTCACATCAGCACAGTGGTCGGTGCAAGCCGGATGCGGAATTCGTATCGACCAGCCATCGCCGGGATCAAACCCTGGTTCACCTCATTGGAAGGCAAACGCGCTATCCCCTGAGCCATCGCGACTCTAACAGAGAACAATTGGGACCATGTTTGGTTGGTGCCAAGGAGGAAGTGAGGCATGCACAATCCCCTAAGAATCATTCCAACTAAGGACAAACCACACTTATTTAAAATACCTCTCACGAAATAGAAATGAAACTACTAGTTACGTGTTCTTTAAGAAATCAAACGAATCATTGGCGTTGTGCAGACGAGACAACTCCACCAGTTCGACTCTAATAGGCACTCCCCAACCATTGTTCACTTCCTTGACGTGCTGGTCGAAGCCTTTCACTAGACTTCTCAGACCATCGATGGTGTTGGGTACGTTCTTCAGTGGCACGGTAGCATAGTAGGAGATTTCCATGGAGGCTTTGTCCTTTAATCGACTCTGTACAGATTCCAGTTTTCCTGAAAAAGTCCAACGAAATGATATTTAACAACTGAGTCAAATTTCTCAGTTGATGAAATTTCACGAAATGAGAAAAAGTAAAAAAACAAGCTGTTCAACACTTGTTGAGCATTAAGTTATGCGACTTTTCCGATTGAACGAGCCACAATGGGAGAGTGGAAAGGAGAAGTATTTTAAACATCCCCCAATTTTGATTGATCCAATTGGATTTCGATTTTATCCCCAATATTCTCTCATTGTTGTTTTTCTGAACCGAAGTTGCTTTAATGATATAACAGACATTTGCAGGCTTGTGTGCCTAATTTAGGCTTATAAGCCTTTGTCGAGTAGAAGGACAGATGAAACAATTTAGAGAGCAACCTCCACGCTTCGCACAGCGTTTGGCGGGCGATACCACTCCGGACGATACCGCTCTGGGGGGGGACTAGAGTCGTGGTGGCTCAGTGGGTAGAGCTTTCACCTCTCAATGAAGATGAAACCAGTAATGACTGGTTGACTCAAACTCAGCAACCGACTCGCACCAACTACAATGCTGACTTAAAATATCCTCAGTAGTAGACGGATTACATGTTAGAATTTCCTTGCCGTCAGGCTAACCGTGGGAGATTTTCGTGATTTTCCTCTCCATGTAACGCAAATGTGAATTGGTTCCATCAAAAAATCCTTCAAGAAGACAAATTTCTCTCCCTATATTTAATCCAGGAATTCCTTTGTCTTCTGGATTGAGATCAAAATTACAAAACTATGGAGTTGAACATTGGTAGTTGCAACATTGGTCGACTGTTCAACAAAAGTTATACAATAAAGTAAAAATAAACCTGACTGATTTCTAGTTCTTTTGCCCTCCGTCCGTTCAATGTATAAAAAAAGCCTTTTTGAAAAATAATGAATTCAGGTATGAAAGTTTTAACATATTGCTAAGACAAAGTCCTCTGTTATAAGGGCAGGTTGAAGCGACTGACAAGGGAAACTAGGGAAGTGTGACTCGCCAATTTTGAAATAAACTAGTGGGATTTATGCCTTATGAGGAATAATTTTAGGGGGCAACATTAGTTTCNTAATCGTCTTTGAACAGCCGACCCGAGTTTTGGATTTACGACTTCTAATGTTCGACTCCGTAGCCTTGTAATTTCGAACCCAATACAGAAGATAAGGGAACTCCTGGATCGAGTATAGGGAGAAATTTTGCCTTCGTGGAGGACTTTTTGTTGGAACTAACCCGCATTTACGTTACATGGAGATTAAGATCACTAGAACCTCCCACGGTTAGCTTGACGGCAAGGAGACTCTAAACCCATGATTAGTCTACCACTGAGAATATTTCACATCAGCACAGTGGTCGGTGCTAGCCGGATGTGGAATTCGTTTCGACCAGCCATCGCCGGGATCGAACCCTGGTTCACCTCATTGGAAGGCAAACGCGCTATCCCCTGAGCCATCGCGGCTCTAACAGAGAACAATTGAGACAAACATTATTTTACCATGTTTAGTTGCTGTCAAGGAGGAAGTGAGGCGTACACAATCCCCTAAGACTCGTTCCAACTAAGGACAAACCACACTTATTTAAAATACCTCTTACAAAATAAAAATGAAACTACTAGTTACGTGTTCTTTAAGAAATCAAACGAATCATTGGCGTTCTGCAGACGTGACAACTCCACCAGTTCGACTCTAATAGGCACTCCCCAACCATTGTTCACTTCTTTGACGTGCTGGTCGAAGCCTTTCACTAGACTTCTTAGACCATCGATGGTGTTGGGTACGTTCTTCAGTGGCACGGTAGCGTAGTACGAGATTTCCATGGATGCTTTGTCCTTTAATCGACTCTGCACAGACTCCAGTTTTCCTGAAAAAGTCCAACGAAATGATATTTAACAACGTTTGATCAATAAATCAAATTTTTCAGTTGATGAAATTTCACAAAATGAGAAAAAGTAAAAAACAAGCTGTTCAACAGTTGTTGATCATTAAGTTATACGACTTTTCCGATTGAACGAGCCACAATGGGAGAGTGGAAAAGAGAAGTATCTTAAACATAACCCAATTTTGATTGATCCAATTGGATTTCGATTTTATCCCCAATTTTTCCTCAGTGATATTTTTCTGAACCGAAGTTGCTTTATTGATATAACAGACATTTGCAGGCTTGCGTGCCCAATTTAGGCTTATAAGCCTTTGACAAGCAGATGAAACAATATAGAAAAGAACGTTACGAAGAATACATCCGGGGTTACGGCGGGATTCGAACCCGCCACCTCCAAGCTTTCCACAGCGTTTGGCGGGCGATACTACTCGGGACGATACCGCTCGGGGGTAAGGCTCCTATACTATCAGAGCTGACCTATCAAGCAATATTGGATCAAAAAAGTTCGCAATTTAACGTTATGTTAGTATAGTGCTTATGTTAGCTCTTTGGAGCAAAAATAGATGATGCGTCGGCCTGTCTAATTCAGGAGCTCTACTCGGGGGGACTAGAGTCGTGGTGGCTCAGTAGATAGAGCTTTCGCCTCTCAATGAAGTTATCCGAGATGAAACCAGTAATGACTGGTTCATTCAAATTCAGCAACCGACTCTCACCGACCACAATGCTGACTTAAATTATCCTCAGTAGCAGACGGATTACATGTTAGAATTTCCTTGCCGTCAGGGTAAACGTGGGAGATTTTCGTGATTTTCCTCTCCATGTAACGCAAATGTGAATTGGTTCCATCAAAAAATCCTTCAAGAAGACAAATTTCTCTCCCTATATTTAATCCAGGAATTCCTTTGTCTTCTGGATTGAGATCAAAATTACAAAACTATGGAGTTGAACATTGGTAGTTGCAACATTGGTCGACTGTTCAACAAAAGTTATACAATAAAGTAAAAATAAACCTGACTGATTTCTAGTTCTTTTGCCTTCCGTCCGTTCAATATATAGAAAAAGCCTTTTTAGAAAATAATGAATTCAGGTATGAAAGTTTTAACATATTGCTAAGGCAAAGTCCTCTATTTCAAGGGCAGGTTGAAGCGACTGAGCCATAGTTTCCGTTTTTTGCGAACTTTAAGCTGTTGGCTTCCTAGTCTAAAGAAAGGGTTTTTCCCGTAACATTCAACGTAAAAATAGTGCATAGCAGAGGCAAATTTGAGTAATAAAACACAGGGCCTCATTTTTTAAATTTTGCAAATCTTAAATTAGTTAGTAAAAATACGTATCTCACCATCTGCTACAAGACCTGTGGCATTCCCGCCAATGAAATTATTTTTAATTTCGGCTTGGATGGTATTCATATCAGTTTCCTTGTTAGCCTTGAATCGAATAGAGGCCAGAAGTTCTCCACCATAGGACACACTCCTTACATAATGAGTACCCAGATCATGCTTGTTTCGATGTATCCAGGTTGGAAAAGGCTTGGGATTTGCTGACAGTGCTACAGTATACTAAACAAAAAATAATCCAAACAACTCAGTAAAAAGAACAATAGAAAAATTTTTGATTTAATAGTTGGCTATTTCACATACATGTTCTATAAATAATATTTTCGACATTTTCGAAATTTTAAAATTTATCATTGTTTCCAGTAACAATAATTATAAATTTTTAAATTCATCATTGTTTCCAGCAACAGTAATTAACTTCCAGTAATAATAAAGTTTTGAATTCATCATTGTTTCCAGAAACAATAACTAACTTCCAGTAATAATACATTTTTAAATTCATCGTTGTTTCTAGAAACAATAACCAACTTCCAGTAGTAATAAATTTTTAAATTCATCATTGTTTCCTGTAACATTAATTAACTTCCAGTAATATTAAATTTTTTAAATCATCATTGCTTCAAGTAACAATAATTAACTTCCAGTAGTAATAAATTTTAAAATTCATCAATGTTTCTAGTAACAACTTCCAGTAATAATAATTTTTTTAATTCATTATTGTTCCCAGTAACAGTAATTAACTTCCAGTAAGAATAAATTTTTAAATTCATCGTTGTTTCTAGGAACAGTAACCAAATTCCAGTAATAATTAATTTTTAAATTCATCATTGTTTCCTGTAACATTAATTAACTTCCAGTAATATTAAATTTTTTAATTCAGCATTGCTTTAAGTAACAATAATTAACTTCCAGTAGTAATACATTTTTAAATTCATCAATGTTTCTAGTAACAATAATTAACTTCCAGTAATAATAATTTTTTTAATTCATTATTGTTTCCAGTAACAATAACTAACTTCCAGTAAGAATAAATTTTTAAATTCAGCATTATTTTTTTACGCGGGTTGAAAGCGGTTAAAACTTTTTTTTATGTTCGTGTATCAATTGGTTAACATTTTAATGCAATAGGTTAAAAATAAATACAAAGAGAAAGTATATAAAAATCCCCTGAATAAAAACCCATAACATGTTAAATATAAAAGTATTGCATATAAACTCGTGCAAAACATGTCATTATTCAAGCTATATAATAATAATCTAATAATTTGGCCTAATTATTATTATATACTAATATAATACTTAATATAATACATATTCTATATTTATATAATATATCGTCGAATTTATCCAATCGTCAAATTTATATTATATATCGTTTAATTTATCCAATTGATACACGAACGTAAACAAGTGCAAACCGGTTTCAGTGGTGTAAAAACAATAAAGTTGTATAGTATCACCTGATAAATAAGATTTTACTTAGAATCTTATAGTGCGTCTAATAGTTTGATCAGGGGCTGTAGCAGCAATGGTCTCCAAGCAGAGACATTTCGAAACACTTAGGGCAACAGTTCTCTTTTTATGGAGCATAAATTAAAAATGCATGTATATTTCACCATATAAAACAGTTTAAATTGAAATAATTTTCTTAAAGTATAGATTTGATACTCCCTTACTGTTGTAAATTTCATCCTAGTCAAAATTTCAACTGTCTTTCCCACTTTCTGGGTATCCCTTAAATAAGTCCCAGTTCCTTTAAAATCCACTTTTCCAGCTTTTACTTTCAGCGCCAAATCTGCCGATACGTCCAATAAATCTCTCAAATCATCTTCGGAAGCTGTAGTTTGATATCTGGAGGAAGTTTCCTGTTCAGGTAGTATCTAAAATATTGAAATAATAATGAATAAATAAAAATATCTGCTGATATTTTTATTTGCTGCTATCTTTATAAGCTTAAAATATACATAAGATGATAACAAATGTTAAAAGAACTGAAAATTTAATCTATAATTGGATTGTTTGAGAAGATCTTAACAATTTGGACAATTGAAATGAAAAAGCAAAATTAAAAATTGAGTTTTAATATTTCAGGACATCAATAATTTTGTCATTGTTCGAAATTCAAGAATAATAAATTTTGAAAGCATACAAATAAAAATCTTTAAGGTGGCATGGTAATTATGAGACCATACTTACATAAGTGCATAGGTGGAAAATTTACCTATGAATTCATGTTTCCAGAATTTTCAGAATTTCTCTAAAGCCATTTTAAAAGAAGGTAATACCGGTTTCCGCTTTTAACCTTACAATCTATATTAGGTTGACCAAAGTGTTAGTTTCGATAAGTGTTCACATATTTATATAAATAATACCGAAAGACTGAAGCAGGAATATATACTTAGTTAAAAATTTCATTGTCTTCAAAAAATATGAAGATGGTAATTGAAAGCCGACATCTTTCAAGTACTTGCAAATAGGCGTTCAAGACGACAAATATGAACGAGCATGACTAAAGTGACTTGAAACATAGTACTTAAAGTTGCCAATATTAAAAGGTTCCTAAGGAATACGATGGAATAAGGTAAATCGTCAATCGCCGCATATTGATCGAATCGTGGTTATAAACTCAATTTTGATGCCAATAGTACTTCTACCCCTTCCACAACAGCTCATCTTGATGCCCTGGAATCTTCTTTCATTCTTATGAATGCCGATTTCCATGCTATCGATATGAGTTCTGCCTCACTTCATCATAGCGCGAGGAAGAACATTTCACCCTGATTTGCCTTTCTCAGCTACAACGGTCTTTCTAGTTCCACCATTTAAAAAGAATTCTTTGTTAACCATAATTCTGACCATTTCGAATAGTTAAAGAGCTCACACTTCAACAGCGCCTCGTGCCTGATTACAATGTAAGTTTCAATCATCGACTTATTACTCCTTGCAGATTTGAGTGATTGTCCTTTTACCACCAAACAGTCAATTCAAAATTTCCAGCTATTTCCGACAAGCTAGAAGGTTAAAATTTCGATTGCACATCTGTATCTAATGACAATACAAGATTCAATTGTCTTACAACAGTTACTAGTCAAAATTAATGTCAATTTTTCACCAAAAACAATTTATCATTATTCGAAATCTCGTTGTTTTTTCGAATAGTTGGAGAGCTCAGTACTTCAAAAGCACCTCGTGCCCGATGGCAATATAAGATGCAATTATCGGCTTACTGATCCTTGCAGAGTTTATAGTGATTGTTCTTTTTCCACCATATAGTCAATTCAAAATTTCACAAATCATTTTTTCTCCAAATAGAATAAATCATTAATTAAAATTTCGACCACTTTTCTAATAGCTAGAGAGCCTATACTTCAACAGAAACACATGCCTGCAGTACTGTTAAATTCAACTATTGGTTTACTGCGCTTTACAGAGCTTATAGTAATTGTTCTTTCATTGCCAAAAAACGAGAATATTTTAACATTCAGAATTTCTAGCGATTTCCGAGTTGTTAGAATGTTAAAATTTCAAACACATTTGATGACTATACAAGATTTCATCATCTATTCTCTACAAGTTGATTTTATTGTGAAATAAAATGCATCGTTAATGTATAAATGTTTTAACTACACTTAAGCACCTGATTACAATGCAAAAATTTATACTGTTTTCTGCTTGATATAAGCAGAATTTTTATTATTTCATTACCGTCGTTGAACAGCAGACCCAATTTTCAATGTTCAATTCTGTAGCCTCGTAATTTTGAACTCAGTCTTGAAGACAAGGTAACTCCTGGATAAGTTATTGAGAACCTTCGTGGAGGAGTTCTCTGGTGGAACTAATCCGAATTTGTGTTACATGGAGAGAAAAATGATGAAAACCTCCCACGGTTAACACAACGGCAATGGGACTCTAACCCATGATTCGTCTACCACTGAGAATCGTTTACGTCAGCACTGTGTTGGTGTGAGCCGGGTGCGGAAATTTCAATGAACACATTTCGCTGATAAGCTTCAATCATCCTTAGCTGATATCGCAAAAAGGGATTTATCTTCAATCGAATCTCGCTCTCGGCCTCTAGATAAGCTGTAAATACGACATTCCTTTTCTTTAATTGTTCGTTTTCGTATCAGATCTAAAATTGATGCCATATGTTCATCTGTATTGTTTTAAAGAGTCTGTGAGTGTTTGCCCAACATGTTGGGCAATCACACAAGAACACTTTTTTTTCCTTTCTATGTAAACAAAATAACATACATGGAACTAAATTGTAGAGAACAACAAAATAAAGCAAAAAAATTAAGAGGTACATTTTTCAAGTGGACTAAAAAAGGAGGAAATAATTTTATTTTTGTCGGGCCTAAAATGAAAAACCAGTAATATAAAAAAGGAAAAATTTAAAGTCGAATTCCTACATAGGTCAACAACGAAAAATTTTATTTTAGTTATTTTTTATTAACTAATTATAATTTTTTATCCCATATAAAAAATTAAAAAAAATTAATTAAATTTAATTAATGAATTAATATTTGAAAAAACTGCGTTAACATCAAGCGTCATCCACAATTCGCGATCGCAACGCTCGAGTACGCCATCTAGCGGGAGACTGAAAATATCGGACATTAGTTCCCACAAAGCCATTGGCTCTGACGGACGCCATTTCATTTGCAGCAAATAAGAAGCAAAATTTCCCTAAGGAAAAAGTAGAATTTCTTGAAAAAACTAACCAGAACACGCCAAACATTGAAGCAGAACACGCCAAGCATTTGAAGAACAATTTCTCGATAATTTTTACATTTCTATTACCAACAGCATAACTTCCAATTTCATGATCACTTGCTGTTACAGATTGTGTGTATTACGGTAAAATAATTTTTTCTGTCAATTAACACAACAATTAACATTTTCGCAAATTAAAGTGAAATCAGCATTGCTTTCGTCATTCCAATGAATAAATAGGAATTCAGAATATGCACAGAACTGTAAATATATAGTTATAGAATATTGTTCTTCTTCATAGAATAGTATATATTTCTGTATCCATATTATTCGCAAAACAACAATAAAGAATCATCCGAACTACTTGAAATAGATTCATTTGTGCTGATTATTAATAAATTTGTATCGTTTTCTTAGTAATTATTTTTTTGTTGTGAAGGAATAATTTCAACTAGAATTCAGCTATTCTGTTTTTAAGCTACATATTCAAATTCATATCGAGATCTTACATTTATAAAATTTTGATGTGTGGTGTGTTATCTAAAAGTAACGAAGGGATAATCTATGCATATATTATTTGAAAATAAAATTTTCAAACGAAGAACATTTTATTTTGAATTCTGCGGATTTATAAAACAGGTGAGTGTTATGATTTTTAAATTAAAAATTTGCTTGTAAATATTTTTTTTTTCTTATTTGATAACAGTTCACTACAGAATGGTTTTTTACGTCTGATTAAGAACTATAAGAATAATAAAAAAAGAAACAATATGGAAGTTTTTATTTCAATGTAAAGAATTCTTAAAATCGTTTTTTATCCTAAGAATTCTTTATTTTCCGTTTTTTAGTTTATAATTTTTTGATAAAAATTTTTGTCAAAATACTTTTTTTGAAAAATTAAATGGTATAACATTATGTGTTTATGTATACTTCTTGTAAATTCTAATGTTTGAAGTAATATGATTCAGGAAAGTATGGAATAAAAATTCGGTACTTACGTATTAACGCCTCAGCCGCTACAGATTTGGCGGTTTTTAAGTGCCGCCAATCTACGCTTAAAATTTTTGCGACAAATCATAAAATAAAACACATTCATAAAATAAAACACAGAGTAGTCAGTCGGATTTCGGTGAAAAATGAGCCGATATAGAGTTTAGCATAGATTCAAATATCGCCATATGAACTCTGATAAATAAGATTCCAAATGAAATAACATTTCCAAAACGTACGTTTACCAAGATAAAGTTTCATGTTGTGGGAATTGGCACATTTTCGTTTTTTCGGTAAAATATTTCCCTCTTGAAAAAGTAAAATTCCATCTTGTTTTGTTTTTGGCAAATCCCAAAGACGAATTTTCGTAGCACTAAAAATGGCGACAAAAAAGAATTNTTCCAAAAAAAAGAGAATATTTTACAATTCAGAATTTCTAGCGATTTCCGAGTAGCTAGAATGCTAAAATTTCAAACACATTTGATGAATACACTAGATTTCATCGTCTATCCTCTACAAGCTGAATTTATTGCCAAATAAAATGTATCGCCAATCAAATTTCTGTTATTTTTCTGAATAATTAGAAGGCTTAAATTTTAACTACACCTGATCACAATACAAAATTTTATATTTTTTTCTGCTTCATACAAGCAGAATTTTTTATTATTTTATTACCGTCGTTGAACAGCCGACCCAATTTTTGGATTTGCAACTACTAATGTTCAACTCCGTAGCCTTGTAATTTTGAACCCAATCCAGAAGACAAAGAAAATTCTGCATCAAGTACTGAGAGCCTCCGTGGAGGACTTTTCTGATTGAACTAATCCGAATTTGCGTTACATAGAGAGAAAGACTGTGAAAACTTCCCACGGTTAGCCTGACGGCAAGGGGATTCTAACCCATGATCCATCTACCACTGAGGATATTTTACGTCAGCATTGTGGTCGGTGCAAGTCGGATGCGGAAATTTCAATCCCCGCATTTCGCCTGACAAGCTTCAGTCATCCCTAGCTGATATCGCAGAAAGGGATTTATCTTCAATCGAATCGAATCGTCACTCTCGGCCTCTAGATGAGCTGTAAATACGACATTTCCATTTTTTATTTGTTCCTTTTCGTGTCAGGTCTAAAATTAATGCCATATGTTCATCTGTGTTGCTTTATAATGTCTGTGATTGTTTGCCCAACATGTCGGGCAATCACACAAGAATACTTTCTATCTTTTCTACACAAGCAAAATAATATACATGGAACTAAATTGCAGAAAACAACAAAATAAACCAGAAAAAATACTACTATAAAAGTACTCAGACTACTATAAAAGTATAAATTTGGGTGATGTGGACCACGTGCTACCACGTCATGTTCTTTATTGAATTTATCTGACACAGCGAATGTAAAATAATGAAATATTTAAATGTGCGCGATAAACTATTTTATTGTTCAAATAGAGCTATAAGTTATAAATTATCACTGATGTTATTTTTAAAATATGTGAAAAACTGAATCGCTTATATTAAAATTTAAAACAATGACTAACGCTTAACCGATCAGAAAATTCCATTTAGTTTTTCGCTCATCCCTATTTAATGAATTAATATTTGATGAAACTAATAACTTCAAGTGTTAAAAAAATGTATTTGAACTTGAGTGAATAAATAAGAAGTATTTTATTAACGATTGAAAATTTGAACGAGATATAAGGAGATGTGTGAACTAATAGTAGGTTTCGAATAAACTTAGTTTGCTTCTCATTCGAAAGACTTGAGGGGAATTTTTGGTAGCAATAGATGTTCAGTAACACTCCATATTTTTTTAGGTCTGGAAACAATAAAATCATTTTTCTCCTTTTTAGCCCACACTAGAAAGTTAATTATTTAAAGTTTTATTTTATTCTATTTAATATTTCAATACGGTTTTATTTTAATTTCTGGCAGGAATACTAATAAAGCTAGATAAAAACTGTCAGGATTAACATTTAAGAGAATAAACGGATTATATATTTTACTTTAATAAGGAAATATATTTAAACCTACATACCAGAGTAGAAAAACGATTCTGGCATTTTAATAATTTAATAGCTAAACAGCCAGCGTTTAAAAAATGCATGTACAGGATTAGCATAATGATAAAAAATTTAAACAAAACTTTACTTTATTTTTTAAAATGAAAAGATCACACTCATCTTATAGGTTTGAAAATGTATTATTCACAGCCATTTTGTCGTATTTTGCCATTAAAAAGGTAGAATTGTACAAAAGAAAATAGTAATAAAATTAAGGTATTTAAAAATATAAACTGAAATAATATTTTCAATTATTTGCTACCACTTGTAAAAATAAAGAAAATATATTTGTAAAAGAAGCTTTATATTTAAATACGAAAACCTATTTATCCTAGAAGTCCCAGACAACCAGCTGTGTTTTAACTCTAAAATAGTTGTATATTTATGAAAAAATAGTACTATCAATATTAGGAGAATCTGAACAGTAATAATAAGAGAAATTTTAGTTTTATTAAGAATTACTTTTTTTTCAGTTACAGCTTTGTATTGATAGTACTCTATTTTGGAGTTACTTTTTTTAGATGGTACTAAATTTTGCTTGATATTAACCCCTTGCTTACCGGCGCTTAGTATGATGAATCCCGCCATACAAGTCCACCTGTAATACCAGTCGGAGGCAAAAGGTTAATATCTTGTTTTTTTTCTGCATTAATACTAAACATGAAATAATCAGTTTGCGATATTTCTTTATTTTTTGAATACTACCAATACAGCAGTTGATATATGACTACTTTTAACATTTTGGAACTGCATTTTCAAAAGGATGCTATACTTTAAAGACACAGGATTAAAAAAAAAAACCCACAAAAATAAAGGAATAAAGAAAATAATAAATAATGAAAAAAAATGGGATAAAATTTTTGTCTTCGAGATTTTTGTAACTTCTAAAAATACTCACTCTTGCTTGATCAATTTCCGATTGAGGGAAAATATCGATACCAACTCTATCATATCGAGCGTCGAATGTCCGTCCCAATAACATGGGTAAAATATACAAAATATTAGACAGCATTTTTAATCCTGAGTTCAATTATGTTAGAACTCAGAATAAGGTAAGGGGAGAGTAGAAAAAAAATGCTTTCCTCAATTGTTAGAAAGAACTAAATTTTTATCTTTCTTAAAAATTATCGCAATCTATGGGAGTTTTAGCAGATGGCTCCTTACCTACATGCTTCTAACAGAATGAGCTATACATTTATTATTTTTGAAGTTTTCATAAAAGTATTGGTATGCATAACTGTTAAATACAAGAAGATAAAATTGATAATTTATTAATGTAATTCAAATATTAAACATAAGTGGATCTAAGAGAAAAAAATTAATATTTTCATAGAAATTTCCTAAAAATCTCATTTTGATGAATTATATACGAGTAAAAAAAATTAAATTACTAGTTCAATGTAATTTGCTTTCAGTTTTATTATTTTTTTTTCGAAACCAAGAAATTCCATCAGGCTTTAACAGAATTCAATTAATTTTTAACTCGCACCATATTATGAAAGTTAATTAATAAATTAGTAATAAAAAGTAAATTAATGTACAACTCAAGTCGGCAGAAATCGTATCGATTGGTTATCTGGCGCATGTGACTAATTTAATTTACCGGTGTGTTATAACACAGATGCTGTAAAAAATGTATCAAAAGCAACTATTTTTTTACCGCTTTTGTACAATTGCAACATTTAAAAAAATTGAAACAATCCTCGTACCACTATTTCCATGTGGATAAGGAGATATTTTTAATTGTGTCTAACTGAAAACAACGACCGGCTGCTAAGTGGTAGTGCTTCGCGCTCCCGTGCCACAGGTCCTGGGTTCAATCCTCTGGCTGGGCAAGGTTGACTCAGCCTTTCATCCCTTTAGTGGGTCAATAAATGAGTACCAAGCATGCTTGGGAACTAAACACTGGGGGTTCAGCGATCGGCTAACCACCTAACCGGAACATCTGTTCCTGTACCCCAGAGCCCAAGGTCAAGAAAACTGAGATGGGCACGGTAGGCCTTGGCCCTCTATGGAATGTCACGCCACTGAGTTTAGTTATCTGAAAATAAATAAAATAAAAAATTTGATGATCAAAACCTTTGTTAAATAGGGCTTATAAATCCTTCTCTTGCCTCTGGCTATTGTAATGGTAAATTATGATAGTTTACATTTCCAATTAAAATTATAATCGGTAGTTATGATTGCCTGCAACCATGATTGCAAATTATTAATTGTTAGTTTGACCTAATCTGTTTTTGCTGAACTACATTTTTTAAGTGTCTTAACTCTCTCTATAATTGTGTATAGTTTTGTGGGTTCCGCGTGTTGCTATGCGTGTTATCATCTTATGCTAATGGATAAAAACAACCAAGCACATATTAACAGTTTTGAAAGCTTGCATAATTATGCATAAAAACTAGTATGTTTCACACCTATACGACGCGATGATTTAAACTTAATATCAAACAAAACAAACACTAATGAGATTTGAAAGTTTATGTTGGCCGTTTGTGCGTAAATATGAATATTTTCAATCATTTTTGTTTTTCTACAATATAATTCTTCTGAAGTTATGATGTAAAATTTTAACTTGGAATTCCTTTTTTCATGAAGAAAAATGAGAGCATCACTTTTCTTTAAAAATGTCGTAAGTTATTTTAGCATTAATTAAATTCTTGTTTCATTGCATTAAAATTGATAAAGCTATTATTCTGGTGGCTGAAAACTTATCAAGAATCAAATCTTAGAATTTGAAATCGATCGCTGCAGTATCATATACACAGATTTAAAATAAATTATAATAAAATGGATTTTTTTAAAAAAGTATATTTTGTTTTCAAAGCGTATTAATTCTAATATATTCACACCTTTAGCTTTGAAAGTAGTTTCGTAAAATAATATTCGAGATTTCAGTAACAGAATATAATGTAAATGAATTTTCTTACATGATAAAAACATTATGAATATTTCATTGTCTTAAGAAAGAAATCTTTCATTATCGTAAGGAAGAAGTTTTTATTGAACTTGAGTTTTTATAGAAGTTTCTATAGAATTTCACTTAAAGACACTGATTTTGTATGGCTTTTCTGCAAATCTATTAGGCCGCTTTTTTATTTTTCAATAGCACAAAATAGTTATAGTTTTTCAATAGTTATAGGGCAATCTTAACTATATTTATGACTTTATTAAATCCGTGAAATGTATACATTTTTCTATTTTCGGCTATATTGTTAAACCGCAAAGCGGTAAAATTATAATTTCTAACAGTTTTCGTTGCACAAATTAAAACTAAGCTAACTAGAACTAAACGAACTTAATTCAGTATTTCCATTTAGAATGCGATTACTGCAAATGTAAGCTAAGTACAATATTTATTAGTATTAAATTATGTATTTTTTTATTGTTACTCAGTACAACAAAAATCTCCTGCACCTTTAAAGGGTGAAATAATTTTTCATGCAGAGACCAAAGTGTTGAAACAATTATTCCAAAATTGAGATGGATTAAGAACAATCACCGTCAACTCATTCTTTAGACGCTACGTCAAAAGGAGATATATTGAAAGAATGGAAATCTTTGTGTAAGAATATAGAATGCGTCACTTAAGAGAATTGATACTTGACGGGCTTGGCTTACTCTAAATGGAATTGAAAGAACAGTTGCTGACGTAAGCAAATGCCACGTCTCAACAACCAATCAGAATCGAGATACCCACACTACGTCACTTGCAGGTATCCCCTTTTAAGGTTTTATCCCCTCACACAAAGCATGGAATTAACTAATGCATTAGTCTAACAATATACTTCGTAAATGTCTAAATATGCCTGAAATATAATCGTTCCAAATGCGAAAAGAACCAGTTTGAAATTTAAATATTTACTGTGAAATGGATCATTTATTAAGTAAAACTATTATTACTTAGAATTGTTAGATATAAACTCATAGAAATAATTTTTTTTTTCATTCTGTTTAGAAATAAGATGTCTCGGAATCAGTTTGATTATATGTTAGAAGAAATGGAGCAAGCACAGTATGTGGTCATTTTCTTAGATCGTTAAGGAAGCAATACTTCGTCTTTCAAAAATGTTCTCCGATTCTAATGTTAAGTTTTTTAACTCATTGGTAAAATGGGTCTTGTTTTGGGTTTTATGGCGCGCGCACTTTACTTGCACGTCATCACACTTTTCAACTGTGTTCAAGAGTAACAGTGCGTCATTGCATGCGTTGCTATGGCGACAGCTGCTGTTTGATAATTTTTTTAGAATTATTTTTTTCTTTTTATTTTCACCATCAGTTCATTCTTAATCTATTTACGTAATGGAAATGAGCAAGTGGATCGCTTGACCAAGGAGGGCCATTTAACATCTTCGTCCTCAGCCCTTACCTTTTCAGAGTATCAGTCCAAAATCAAAGGCCATCTATCAAAAAGGATCCCCCCTTCTCATCATTGGTATGCGGCCAAGGAAGCGGACTCTTCACTTGTTCATATAGGTCAGGGGTCCCCAACCTTTTTGTACCTAAGAGCAAATACCAGAATATCGGTCGAATGGCGGGCACCATTTATTTTTTCAAGATAAATTTATAGTTGGTAGACATAGGATATATTGCATACATACTGCATATATTGCACAAAAATTTTAATTTTAAAAATTATTTTAACATATGAATATAATTAGTATTGATATCCTTGAGTAAAATAAATTATTAAGAAATTGTTTGCAAAACATACAAAGTACGACTTCATATATGCGATTCGCGAGTGGTCAGCTATATTTTGCTTTGTGCTTATATCTGTGGGGATGGCGATTTCTATTTTGGTTGTGTTTATCATCCATATTGAAAAAGCAACAAATATTGCATAACATTTTATGGGAAAATGAAAAACTGAAGTATTTTTTCGTTGGGCACAAGCAGCGGGCGCTCCTAAACCGATCGAAGGGCGCCATGGTGCCCGCGGGCATAGGGTTGGGGACCCCTGAATAGGTGATAGAGCATCTCAAACAGCTATTTCCAGACTGGCAAGCGGACACACGAACAGTCTCTCGTACTTTAAAGGAAGAAAGACTTATGCAGTCTGCTCTAAATCTGGAGCCCAGCAGGCCTCAGCTGAACATACCCTCGACTGCTTGGGCATTTCCAAGGAGGACTTATATGCTTCTCCACTTCTTGTAATCGACTTTTTGAGGGTCAACAACCTACTGGATCTTGTCTGACTTCGTCAGACGATTAGAGGATGAGAAACAACAACAACAACGTAATGATAATTTAAAGTCTTTTTATACTATTTTCGTGTAATTACTGTCTTGACGGTGATTTTAATATAAATATGAATACTGAGGAAGAAAAAGTATTTTGTAAGGTCTTGAAACACGCATANACCTACTGGATCTTGTCTGACTTCGTCAGGCGATTAGAGGATGAGAAACAACAACAACAACGTAATGATAATTTAAAGTCTTTTTATATTATTTTCGTGTAATTACTGTCTTGACGGTGATTTTTGATATAAATATGAATACTGAAGAAGGAAAAGTGTTTTGTGACGTCTTGAAACACGTATACATAGGCAGGATATGAAAACCAATCCGACGACAAACATCCATTGAGACAGTTTTTGCAACCCATGATTTGAAATGTTGTGGCGTTTATCGGAGTCCATCCAGAAAGAAAAAGCAATTGACCAATGAGTGACCAGTGATCGTAATAAAGCGATCAAATTTTTTTATGAATTTTTTTTACTTTGAAATGTCTCGTCCTCTGCATAATGTCTTTCTTATAATTCTATAACATATATACAGCATGTATTGTTCTTTATATTTTAACAGTTTTTATTTTTTAAGCGAGACAATAAAACAAACAATGATGAGACTACAAGATTTATTTTTCTTCTGGAAACTTAGGCTAAGTTTGGCTTCCAGAAATCTCAGAATAAAGTCGGATAAGAATGAAATATTTACCTTCACTTTACACAAAAGTTTTCTTCTTGTAAGATTTAGCTTATGAGTTAGACAACTTCACGTTTTCCTTCACACAAATGTTTTCCTCTTATAAAATTTAGCTTATGCGGAAATCGTGATGGCTCAGGGGATAGAGCGTTCACCTTCCAATGAGGAGAACCGGGTTCGAATCC